TATATCTCTAGAATAGAATAGACTATATATAATATTATATACCTAGCTTCTTAGATAGAAGAGAGATTTACTATATTATATAGAAGAAAACCTATATATAATAAGCCTTTTACTAGTATCTTTTTAGGTAGACTATTAAATTATTAGTTACTATTACGTTTTTTATTATATAGCGTAGCTATACCTTAAGCGCCTTTTACTTAGATATAGTAGCCTTCTAATATAGCTTTTTAATATAGCCTTTTAGTATAGCCTTTTAGTATATTCTACCTATTTTTTACTAAAACGTAGAAGCCTTTTACTAGAGCTTTACGCTATATAGTATTATTTAAAGCCTTTTTATAGCTTATTATAATATTATTATATAGCCTAACGCTATAATTTAAAAGCCTTTTACTAGTAGAGTAGAGCCTTTTACTATACACTATACTATTTTAGATTTAGTATAGAATAAATACTTTAACTAGTTTTTATAGCCTTTAGGTATAGAAGTTAGAATTCTAATATAGTTAGTACGTTCTTATAGGTAGTATATAAGATAGTATATAAGATAGTATATAAGATAGCTTTATTAGTAAGTTTATTTCTATTTATTATATATAAGATAGTGTATAAAATAGTATTATTATAATATAATTTTTTATTAGTATATTATATAATATAATTAATAAGTTATTATATAAGATAGCTTAATTAGTAAATATATTTCTAGTAGTAGAGTATAAAATAGATTATAAGATAGCTTTATTAGTAAATATAACTTTAGTAATAAAATATAAGATAATATATAAGATAGCTTTATTAGTAAATATATTTTTAGTAATAATATAAGATATAATATTAAATAGTATTAGTTATTAATTATTAAATAATAATAAATTATTTTAGCTAGTAAGTAAGATATTATATAAAATAGCTTTATTATAAATATATTTTTTAGTATAAAATATAATATACTAGATAAGATAGCTTTATTAGTAAATATTCTTTAATTTATAAAATATAAAATAGTATATAATATAGCGTTATAAGTAAATATCTTTTAGTAGTAATATATAAGATAATAAATAAAATAGCGTTATTAGTAAATATCTTTTATTAGTATAATATAAGATAGTATAAAAGATAATATATAAGATAAAATTATTTATAAATTATCTAAGATAGTAAACTATATATTATATAAGATAGTGTTAGTATAAATCTTTCTATTAGTAAAGTATAAAATATTATATAAAATAGTGTTATTAGTAAAATATAAAATAATAAATATATATTATATAAAATACTTTTATTAGTAAATATCTTTTTATTAGTAGAATATAAGATAGTATATAAAATAATATTATTAGTAAAATATAAGATAATAAATAAATATTATATAAGATACCTTTCTTAGTAAATATTTTTTAATTTATAAAATATAAGATTATGTAAAAGATAGCGTTATTAGTAAATATTATTTACTACTAAAATATAAGATACTATATAAGATAGTGTATAAAACAATATATAAGATAGTATTATTTAGAAATTATCTTTTATTACTAAATTATATAAAATAGTAAATATAATATTATATATAATAGTGTTATTAGTAAATATCTTTTTATTAGTAAGATATAAAATAGTATATAAAATAGTATTATTTATATATTATTATATCTTAGTAAATTATTTAAAATAGTAAAGAAGCTATAAAATAAGATAGTGTTACTAATAAAATCTAAATTATTAGTAAAATATAATATACTATATAAGATAGTGTTATTTATAAATTATTTTGTATTAGTAGATTATTTAAGATAGTAAAGAAGATACTATATAAGATAGCGTTATTAGTAAAAAATAAATTATTAGTAAAATATAAGATAGTTTATAAAATAGTGTTATTTATAAGTTATTTTATATTAGTAGATTATTTAACATAGTAAAGAAGATACTATATAAGATAGCGTTATTAGTAAAAAATAAATTATTAGTAAAATATAAGATAGTTTATAAGATAGTGTTATTTATAAATTATTATATCTTAGTAAATTATTTAAGATAGTAAAGAAGCTATAAAATAAGATAGTGTTACTAATAAAATCTAAATTATTAGTAAAATATAATATACTATATAAGATAGTATTATTTATAAATTATTTTATATTAGTAGATTATTTAAGATAGTAAAGAAGATACTATATAAGATAGCGTTATTAGTAAAAAATAAATTATTAGTAAAATATAAGATAGTTTATAAGATAGTGTTATTTATAAGTTATTTTATATTAGTAGATTATTTAAGATAGTAAAGAAGATACTATATAAGATAGCGTTATTAGTAAAAAATAAATTATTAGTAAAATATAAGATAGTTTATAAGATAGTATTATTTATAAATTATTTAAGATAGTAAAAATAATACTATATAAGATAGTGTTACTAATAAAAACTAAATTATTAGAAAAATATAATAAACTATATAAAATAGTATTATTTATAAATTATTTTATATTAGTAGATTATTAAAGATAGTAAAAAAGATACTATATAAGATAGCGTTATTAGTAAAATAAACTTTATTAGTAAAATCTAAGATAGTATAGAAGATACTATATAAGATAGTATTATTTATAAATTATTTTTTATTAGTAAATTATTTAAGATAGTAAAGTAGCTATTATATAAGATAGCGTTATTAGTAAATATCTTTTTACTACTAAAGTATAAGATTATATATAAAATATTATATAAAATACTATTATTTATATATTCTTTTATATTAGTAATTTATTTAATATAGTAAATAAGATATTATATTAAATAGTATTATTTATAAATAATTTAAGATACTAAGTAAAATACTATATAAGATAGCTTTGCTATTATATAAACTTTTAGTAGTAAGATAAAAGATATAATATAAAAAAACCTAATTAGTAAATATCTACTTATTAGTAAAATATAAGATAGTAAATAAGAAAGTATTATCTATATATTATATTTTAGAACGTAATTATTTAAGAAAGTAAATAAACTATTATATAAGATAGCTTTATTACTAAATATCTTTTTATTAGTAGAATATAAGATAGTATATAAAATACTATATAAGATAATATATAAGATAGTGTATAAGATAGTATATAAGATAATATATAAGATAGTGTATAAAATAGTATATAAGATAATATATAAAATAGTATATAAGATAGTATATAAGATAGTTATATTTATAGATTATATAGAGTTCTACTATAGAATAAGGTTTCTAAATATATATAAGCTAGTATACTAAGATTATAGTAGTTAGAAGCTAAATTAAAGTAGTTATATTAGCTCTTAAACTAGCTAATTAATATATACTAAATTATCTCTATTAGCTAAGAAATATTCTCTTTATATAGTATATATATTACTTAATATATAATTACTAATATAATATAACTAATAATTAATACTATTATAAAAGTAAAATAACTTTATATATATACTAGAATCTATATAATAATAGTTTATTATTCTCTATTCTAATAAAGTTAGAACTTTTACTAATATTATCTATATAAGCTTTGTTAATTACGTTATTAGAGCTATACCTAAGAAAAGAAGTACTATTATAGTACTAATCTAAATAGCTAATTAGATAGCGCTAAGCTACTAAGTAAGTAGCTTTATAATTACTAAAATTTCTACGTAAATATAACCTATTATACGCTCTTTAAGCTACGTTCTTATCTTAGCCTAACTCTATACTATTAGCAATACGTAGTAAATATACTAATTACGTATACCTATCTTCTCTACTAGTTGTCTCTGTAATAAGTATATAGAAATAGCTTTATAAGCAAAGTTTTGTCTATAGACCTATAGCGATAGTAAACCTCGCGGTTCTCGGCAACAAGATCTAACCCTAGCACGAAAGACACGACGCGACGCGACATAGAGGCGGAGCACGTCTAGGAAGCTGGTGCCAATCCATCTCTACTCCTTCTCGAAGACTGCCCACGTCAACCTGCGCTTTTGTCGTCCTGAAAGGAACCCACCGCAACGCCGATGCGCCGCCCAACAGGCCGCATATCGCTCTCAAAGCGCCTGAGGACAACGCCGATGCGCCAGGTGGGCTTCGCGCAATCCTCAACCCAGCCTGCTCGCGGTATCCCATTCCATGTGTCTGCTCCGCAAAGAACCAGGCCTTCGTTGGGCTGAGGCTAAAACAAGGCCGTTGATGATTTTATGGATGCGCGCGAGCGTCTAGGCATCGACTTCGTGGAGCTCGAAGCGCGGGGCGTTGTCGCATACCTCGAGGCCGGCGTTATCGGCCATCGCGCCGCTCGCAGTTGTATTCGAGCTGCTGATTGAATTCAGAGCCGGGGCTGTCTTTGATAACGGGTTTGCGGTGTGCGTTGGAGGCGTGAGGATTGCGCTGCACGATGCGCGTGGAGAATGCGAGGTTGTGTTGGAGGATGACGTTGTGGAGCTTTCGCGGACCGGAAGGTCCGGCCGCGGCAGACTGGACCACAGCAGGCGAGCGGGCCAGCCACTTGCGACGCCCTTTTCTATACGCAAGTTCGCCGCGGTACCGGGCTTTGCGATGTCCGGCAGCTCGCAGTCGGTCCGCTTCTGACGTTGATTCGCGTGTTTCGAAGAACACCACTTCACGGACTGTGCTTGCGCCACGGCCTGAGTCACAAGCTAATCGCGTCAGAGGTGCCCTAAAGCCACCATGAGAACCGGCGGCGTGGCTGTGCGCCCCCAAAGGTCGCGCGATTGAAAGGGCGCACTTTCCTTGTGCGCAGCGCTTGACAATACTACCGACAAACGACACCAACGATTGGATTGGTCTATGCGAAGCCGTTCTATGCGCGTCGCATCCAGACACAATGGACGAGAGGCTGGCGTGAGTCATCGTCACTCATATCTCGCCGCCATCATGGCCCTCGTAGGTAAATATACAAGAGGCGGTCGGTGATCGCACATTGAGTCACACAACGCCCTCTCGACTCCGAACGATGCCACTCCAATTCTGGAGGTCGCCTGGCCAGGGCTCCAAGGATACCGACCCACTGCTCGAGGCAGCATTTCCTCCGCGACTGGGGGAAGACTGCCTGAAGATCGACGACGAGGACAGCGATGATGATAGCGACGAAGACGAGGACGAAGAAGTGAAGGAGACTCGTGCCGAGCGGTTGCGCCAAACCGGAGGCTGGCTTGGCTACCTGAAAGACTTTACCATCTTCCTGCCTTACGTCATACCCAAACGAGACGTCAAAGTACAGATATGTCTACTCATCTGCCTCGTCACGATTGCGATGCAGCGCGTCCTGCAAGTCGCCATCCCATACGTCCTTGGAGTGATTGCGGACAAAGTCACGCACGGATCGATACCTATTCGAGAACTCCTCGTCTTCCTTCTCTTGGACCACCTCAACAGCGAGTCGGGATTGATCTTCGTTCAGGAGCTGTCCAAGATACCCATCAAGCAGTTCTCGTACAAGCAGTTGACCAACGCTGCGTTCAGCCATGTCATGTCGCAGTCTATCGACTTTCATTCTACACAAGATTCAGCCGAAGTTATGAAAGCCGTTGAGCAAGGCGAAGCGTTGGGCAATGTCCTGGAGATGGTGGTCATTGAGATCTTGCCGACCTTGATCGACGTCGTCGTTGCTTGTACTATCTTCTACCGGAAGTTCACTCCGGCGGTGGGCATGGTCCTGCTTGGCGCATCAATCGCCTTCCTGGCTGCCGAAGCCTTGTCTTCACGGTTCACAACCGGCCTCCGGAGAATAGTGACGAAGGCTGAGCGGATCCAGATACGGAAGATGCACCAAGCGATTCAAGGTTGGCAAACTGTGGCGTACTTCAACCAGTTCAAGAGGGAGGCCAGTTTACTCTCAAGTGCTGTAGGCGACCACATGAGGGCAAGGACACGTTTCGAAGTACGAGAAGCGCTGATCAAGGCTGTTGTTGAGCTGCTAGTACCGACTACCTTCTTCGCCCTGGCTTACCTCATCCTCCAGCGCATTGCTGCGGGCACGGCATCCCCGGGAGACTTCGTCTTCTTTCTCACATACTGGGACTCCATTATCTACCCGCTGAAATTCTTGACCGATCATGTCCGGTGGCTGGTGCGTGACTTTGTGGACGCGGAACGAGTTCTTCACCTTCTGCAAACCCAGCCAACAGTCACCGACGCACCCGAAGCCTACCCGCTCGCGGTACAGGATGGCGAAGTCCGATTCAAAGACGTGTCTTTCAAGTACGACTCCAGCCGCTACGCACTTCGAGACGTATCGTTCACGGCGTCGCCGGGTCAGACCGTCGCTCTCGTAGGCCAAACCGGGGCCGGCAAATCGTCGATTCTCAAACTCCTCCTACGTCTACACGACGTCACGTCCGGTAGCATCACCATCGCCAAGCAGAACATCCGACACGTCACACTGGGATCACTTCGAGACGCCGTAAGCGTGGTTCCACAGGCACCTACGTTCTTCAACACCTCAATCATGGAGAACGTGCGATACGCACGCGACACCGCGACCGACGAAGAGGTCTACGAAGTGTGTCGTGCAGCCGCGATTCACGACACAATCATGCGCTATCCCAAGGCTTATAATACGCACGTCGGCGAGCGCGGTGTCAAGCTGTCGGGTGGCGAGGCGCAAAGACTTGCGATTGCGAGGGCGCTTCTCAAGGACGCACCGATAGTTCTGCTGGATGAGGCAACGAGTGCGGTGGATACGGTCACAGAGAGGCATATCAAGACAGCACTTGAGAAGCTCAAAGAGGGAAGGATTGTGATTGTCATCGCGCATCGATTGAGTACAATTGTAGATGCGAGCTCCATTCTGGTCCTGCATGAGGGGAGTGTCGTAGAGAGGGGAACGCACGAAGAGTTGTGCAAACAGAAAGGGCGGTATTATGAACTGTGGGAACAGTCATGAAGGTCTTCATATCGCGCCGTACCAATAAGATAACGGAGAAGGGCCTCGTGAAGGTTTCCTAGGGTGTTACCGAAGTATCGGAAGCATCGGAAGCATCGGAATGTCATATACGGGATAGCACCACAACGTAAAATAGCCTCAAGGTGACCTTCAGGTAATTGCAATGGTCGCGATCGGGCGATGTACCCAAGAACAAGGCGCAGCAGAAAGAGCATCCGTCATAAGCCCGTAGTATTCATAGTTCTTACCTTCATCAAGACCCGGAGCTGCTCGGCAGACGCGACGCGACGCGTTCCTGAGCGCCGAGCATGTCCCACAAACTAATGCCGGTACAATTCCTCACATCCACCACGAACGTACTCGCCATGTACACACATCGCATCGCGCATGGCGGTTCACCGCATCGCTCACCGGACTGCTGCTTCTCGAAGGTTTCGTTGAGCTTTAGTGCAGCGCAGGCGAAAGTATCGAGCGCAAGGCGGTGTCATAGCGCCCCTCCAATTCCCAACTTCATCGCGACCACATGCGATGGCCAACATGCGCAACAATCGCATGACCGAGAAGATCACAATTTCGATGCTGCGGATCTGCCCCGCAATGTCTGATTTTGGGATCCCAATACCAAGGTCTAGGTCGTAAGCCGGTGCTGATGTCATCAGACCAGTACACCAAGACCGCGCTCGTGGGTGCACCGCCCATTCGATCGCAATACTCTACAGGTCGGGGTGAAGTGTCGGTACAAATCTCCCGCTTCATCAGAACCTTCTGCGATGTTGGATGGTGTGATGGTAAAGTTCAGGTGGTAATCCGGTGCTTACTAGCGGCCAGCACGGTGTAGCCGGCATCAACCGCTGGCATGGCATCGTGAAGATGGTACGACCACCATAAAAGCCATCACGTCGCCCGTGTTGATATCGGTACAACTTACAGTTCCTTCGCTTCCATCACCACAGACCTGCAACGAACGCTCAACGCCTCAAACCACTCACTCAAACAACCAACTCAATTCACCATGCGTTTCGCTCTCTCTACCATCGCCGCCGTCGGTACCCTCAGCAGCCTCGTCGCAGCTGACAACATCTACACCTACACCAAGCCCGGATGCTCCGGATGCGCCTTCTTCTTCAAGGACATCGACCACAACATCTGCGCCGTGTCCATCACAGCAAACGCAACTGACATTGCCGATGCCATCGCCAAGGGCGTAACCACCGTCCAGTCCGGCAAGCTCGAAGGTACGTCTACACATGCTCTAACCTCACGCAAAAGCCACATCGTACTAACACACCATCTGCAGTACAAGAATGTGGCGAGAAGCGATTCATTGCCTGGGACGAGGGCCCCGAGTCCAACGACGATGGCCTGCTCCAGTGCGGTAATATCGACCAGAAGCTTCGCATCACTGAGACTTCGACTTGCATCACTGGTGGCAACTTCCACGGTTTCAGCTGGACCGAGCCTGGTTCGGACGGCAGCGACTCCAACTCCAAGAGGCAGACTGATGACGCTGATGATGTTTGGAAGTGCACCGGTTCCACTCAGCCCGACGGTGTGTACCTCGGTGGAAAGCACTACCAGGTCAAGGGAATCGACCAGGCGGATGCGGACGCGTTGATGGATATGGCTTGGAACGACAACACAGATGTTCCCTCTGACTTTGAGAAGTACGCCTTCACTCCTGGCATGTAGGTTTGAAGCGGAGGAAGCGGGAGAGATCGGGGGTGCATAGCGCCTCCTTGTTCCATCCCCCCCTTTGGATGAGAAGTCTTGCAGGTCGGGCCACAGAGGCTGGAGGAGAATTCCTAGGAGTTATTAGTAGTTGCAGGTCGTCCCTAATACATTCTATACCTCACGACCACGTGCTACTTAACACCCGCCGACGATGCTCCATATCATCTTCCGTTCGTATCGATCGATCGACAAGTCTCGAGCTTGCTGCAATAGCTATCACGATAAGACAATCCGCTGGCGATAGATGACCACTTGACGCGACATTACACAAACCCCGCTCGTGCGCGTCTTCCGACGAGCGAACTACGCTCACATAGAACAGAACGACAAGCACAATGTAGACTTCGCAATTAATATCACACTTGCGCAAGACGTAGCGCCACGTCGCAAAATGAATGTGTTATTAAAGTTCTACTGTGAGACCCTTCGTAAGGGTACAAGTCTGGCTATCGAATGGGGTAGAATGACCCCTTGGCTCAGAACAGCCCCTTAGGCTTTCCGTCCTTCTCAGGGTCTTCGTACTTCGTCTGCGGAACTTCTGTATGCAAGCCAACACAGTTCTGCCCTTCGTAAGTTCCGTTGAATTGAACTTCTTTACCGGACTTCGTCTTCTAGTACGACACAAAAGCCATGCGCATCCTTGTTTCCACCACCGTGGTAACGGCCTTAAACTTAGACTTGGGTGGACATCTTAGGGGCATCTTGACTTCCCACTTCCGCCTCGTGATAGTCGTCTTGCCCTATGCATACCTCCCGCTGACTGTGACAGTTATGCCTACCGAGTCGGTTAGGTTAGGGACGAGTTGTACATGGGCTTAAGGTGTGGAGACGGAATACAAAGGGAGGTGTGACTAGGTTATGGGCATGAGTAAGGTACGTGAGGGTGATGCATAACGCTACGTTGCAAATGAGTGTCCTTGATGTCCTACCCTAGAAGCCTTCTTATACCACCCCTCGCATACAGTGAACTATCACTTGTTCTCGGCCTTCTTCTTCTCGGCCACGTAGTCGCCATACGAAGACACAGTGCTCAAACTAGCACAACTCTGCCCCTCATAAACGCCCTTAAGCTTCACTTCCTTCCCCCCCTCCTCCGTCTTCCAGTATAACACAAACGGCATGCGAAACCTAGTCTCCACCACCGAAGCCGTGCAAATCGTAGCCGACTTAGGCGGGCACTTGAGCACCACCTTCGCCTCCCACTTCTGCTTCGTGATATTCGTAGTGCCCCACGACATCCTCGTATCCAGCGTCGTACTAAGGCCCACCTTGCCCTCCGCAATCAGCGGCACCCCGCAACTAAACTCGACCGAAGCCGTGACAGAAAGCCCAACCTCCGAAGTGAAGGTCGACTAGATTTCCGTCTCCTTGCTAATCGTCACCTCCTGCGTCGTCTCAATATCCAAATAGTTCATCGCTGTTTGCTAGGCTATTTCCTTAGAGCGGGGCGACGTAAGGATCTCCGGATGCTGCTCGTCATACTCGATCCTAGCGAACTTCAACGGCTCCATCTCGAACGTGAACCAGTGGTCGTCGTAGATCTTGTCCGAGTCCGACAAACAACCTAGTTCAGGCTTACTATAAGTCCTCGAGAAGACATTGCCATTTCCCGCAGGGGAGTGCAGACGGAACTGCTTGTTTCGCACGCCCGTGCCTTAGGTCTGTGCGAGGTCGAAATATTAGTCTAGGTATAAACCTGGCGGGCTGCAGGTGCCTACCTCGCCGTTTCCGCCGTTTGCGCCGTTGCGGTAGTTTGCCCAGAGGGCGCGGCCCGTGTAGGCGCTTACGATAAGGTAGAGGCCGGCGTTCTCGTCTTTGCCCGGCTTGATGTACCAGTAGTGGTCGTCGTAGGTTACTGTGCTGTCGTAGTGGCTCAGATAGTTAGTACCGCGCTCGTTGCTTATAAGGGCCCGTCGCGAGGACATGTTGAGGATGCGGGTGCGGACTTCTAGGGGTGGGATGCCGTCGGCGGAAGTCATCTTAAATAGCTTGAATTGGGCAGTGATAAAATCGAGAAGAAGACCTTAGTCGTTTTGGATTTGACACTTCAGGAGCTAAGCGAGAATAATCTGGAGCGGATAACGACTCTGTACTAAAGTTGCAGTACTTTATGTACCCCGAAGGTACCTAGAGGGCTCGTCGCATTAACAGTCCCTTTTTCCGTTTCAGAACTAGCTCGCGATGCTTTTTTCAAGCTTTCAAACCGGTCAGCTCGATTAGTAACTTCTGATGCGATTTCGCATGTCGGCTCATTAGTTGCTGCAGCGGTCCTGGTTGCTCGAAGACGGGAGCGAACAACCGGCTTCACTGCGCGCCCGGCAACGAAAGTCCTAGCTCAAGACCTAGTAGGCCGTGGTGGTGTAGGCATCGCTGTAGTGTTGCTACTATGCCCCTAATGGACTCTGGAGTCGGCTTCGCACTGATGCGCACAATGGAAAATATTGCTATCGCGACATCGGCAGCCGTCCGTGAGACCTTCCCTACACCACACCATCGCATGCTATGCTGGATTGCGCTGAAGCCTCTTGTGTTGAAACATGATTGGTCTCGTCTTTGCCCTCGACCTTCGCGTCGCTTGAGATGCTGACCGCAACTTCATGCAGCCTCGAGCAGGTACGTAGTGACGACACAGTTTCCGTCCTCTCCAGTCGCTTACTAGGCACTCCCAAGATGGTCTACTAGTTTCCAGCGATGACTTAAGAATCGTATGCGCAATCATCCCGAAGTCATACGTGTTGTGCAGGCGCCTGACATGACGCACACCGTTCAATCAACGCCAATGCTAGTTCGTTCGCACGAGTCAGTACCTATTATGATAGAACCCTCGACGCTGTTAAGGACGTTAACGACGCCGCTTGGCCCGGACGTGGCTTACGAAATTAGGACAATGGGTCGATGAAGTGGCTGCAGCTTAATCTGCGGACTGCGCAACGGGCCGATGCCGAAAGCTCGCATATACGAAGCTGTCATGCACGATGCAATCGGAGGCTCGGGGACCACCTCTCATTCTTTGAAGCACTGATGTTGATGTCTGGCAACAAGAGGGCTCAGTCCTGGGGGCGGCCTAGAAGTGCAGTCTATATTCTTGAGCGATGAAGTGGTTAGAAGGACTCCCTGGCCTAACGGAGAACTGCGGTTCGGTCTTGCCGAGTGCAAAGGTGGGGCGATCCTTCCCGCTCTCGCGCCAAGGACAACAATCCACACCACCACAAACGACAGCGCCTGCAAAACATCGGAGCTGGCTGTGCATGACGGATGCACGTCGCTGCGGGCCGCTGTTCTCGCAGATACACCGGTAAAAAGCAAGCGCAATTCTCCACGACAGGAAAGCATGCCGTCGCCACTCCAATGTGTTCTGCACGGCGTTGACGTGCACTCTAGATCTGCCTGCGAGATACACCACAGACTATCTCGTAGTCGACTAGTGGGCTTCTGAAGATGAGTGCTTCTGTACGCGTTGGTAGCGTTCATGTATGTATTGCGCCACCGGCTACAAAGCCTGCCTTGCGCAGAATCTGTAAGATCACTTTTCTTTTTGCTCTTCCGGCTTAACTTAGACCTCGCCGCACGCCAGCTGCATTATGAAGAACGAGATGCCTTGGTCGATCGAACAGCGACCGCAGTACGCGAGGTCAACATTCGTTCTTGGACGTCCATGGCGATCGTGGCGTCACTCAAAGTACAAGCAGTTAATTGCCCAGTCTCAACGAATTAGGCATGGAGCCTCCACAGTTGGACGTAGAATTGAAGGGTCCTAGACATGCGCGCGATGCGTGAGCAGTCGTCTTGACCGCGTCACCTGGTCGATTTGTCCATGCCCACGACATGACCCTAGTCCCACCTCTCTTGATACCCCATCTCCCCATCCCACACCCATCTACAACTCATCCCTCACCTGCTCCTCCCCTCCACTCAAATCCGGCATAGCCATAATCTTAACGACCAAACTAGTCCAGCCCGTGAAGTGCTGCGTCCTCTGCCCTTTGCCCGTCTCAGGGTTGTATTGCTCCCAAGCAAAGCCAGTCTCTTTCCAGCTCTCGTACACAGTGTTGACTAAGTTCTTGCGGAGTTCAGTGTATATCTTGGTTGCGCGAGCGCGGTGGGGGCCGGGTGATGTTGCGACGTTCTAGAACCGCGCAATCAGTATACTTGCATCATGGGAAGGAAAAGGTTCGGGAGACTTACGAGAAGTTGCGAAACAGCGAGGTAGTTGATGGGCATCCAGACGGGACCGCGCCAGTAGTCTTCTGCTGTGTGGTAGAACTCGTCGCTCTTGCTTAGACTTCTGATGCCGTAAGGGCTCCAGAGCTCCTCTTCGTCCTCTATCAGGTCGAGTATAGCGCCTAGTCTATCGCTGTCCTTGTCGACCAAGCCCGTCAGGAAGGGGAATAGAGAGATGTAGCCCTTGTGGCAGACGAGCGAGTGCTCTTCGTAGTCGTCGATGGTGGCGTCGCAGTAGGTCTTGTCCTTCTTCGACCAGTGGAGGTCGTCGATGTTGCGAACAATCGCTTCGTCATAGCGTGCGAATTCGGCCGCGTCGTCTTGCTCGTCAAGGTAGATTGCGATGCGCTTGATTGCGCGAGTCATCATGCCCATCCAGCTGATCAGGTCGACATGTAGCTCACCCGGGTGTGGTGGCTGAGCGCGAGGATAGTCGTCGAGACCGGAAGTGAGGATATGTGAAGGCGTGCGTCCGCGCCACCTGTAGCCCTCTTTGGTGGAGAAGGCCTCTCGGTCGTAGCTCTTGATGTCGCCAGCCTGGGTCTTGCGGTACCAGAAGTAGTTGCGCTTGAGGAGTGGGTAGAGCGAACGGAGGTATTCCAGGGCGGCTTCGCGATTCGAGAGTTGCATCGAGTACGACTTCTGTTGCTGCAACTTCTCACTACTAGTGTCAGTCTTCATAGCATCGAGCTTGTCGAGGAAAGACGTGATGACCATGAAGAGTGTGGGCGGGTTGGCGTAGTGAGGGTATTGGATCTGGAACTCCTCTGGTACCTTGCTGCGAGCTTCAGGACCGAGGATCTGTTCGCGTCCGATCCAGCCATCGTCATCCATCAGCTTGAACCAGCTCTTAATAATGTCAAGCGTGAGGTCTGCGTCCCAGTCGATAACAGGTAGCAGATGGAAACCCTCATCCCAAAGAAAACCACGAGGAAAGAAAGGTCGCGACGGAATGGCAGTGAACAGCTCAGACGGTCCTTCTAGCTGAGCTGGGTTCCTTGCTCGCGCTTCAGCCGCCTCCTCCCAGAAGCCTTCGCTATCCTCTTCGTAGGCGGGGTCGTAGGATCGATCAACACGAGAGTCACCGAAGAAGTAGCCGATGCCACCGATAAGGTTCGAGAAGAGCGACTTGCCGAATTCCTCATAGCGCTCCTTGACAAATGGCGTCTGGGGCTTGAAGATGTCCGTGAAGCGAGTCGAGAAGCTAGAAGTGACTGAATCAATCTGCTCGGTGAGATGCTCGGACGTAATCTTCTCTGGCGCAGAGGCAGAGGAAAAGATGATGTCGAACTCGAAGGGGCCCTCAAAGACCTTCTGAACCAGGTGCATGTTGCCCTTGCCTGGCAGATGCTGGATGGTGTAGACCTGCGCAGGGGGTGGTGGGTTGTCCTCGCCGTACTTGGGGACCAGGACGTCGATCTGGCCCTTCATGTGCGCAAACATCATGGCCTTGACCTGCCATAGCGCGTCCTCGGGCACCTGTCCGCTGTGTGCCAGTGTCCGGTCCAGAGGCTTCTCGTCGTAGCTTGGGTGTCCAGTGACGGGATGTTCGCCCGTGCCTTTGGTGACAGTGAGCTCGAACTCGCCCAGTTCCTTCGTCTGCCCCTTCAGGACCACGTCGCCCTCGATGCCGGGCTCTTCGGGGTCAGCACCTTCAATGCCCAAGTTGCCGAAGCCTGCGAGCGTGTTGTACCAGACGACAGTCGTGCGTAGATTCGGGCCAGCGTCTTCGCGCGGTGTGCCCTTGATCCTCGCGCCCCAGCTGCCGCCATGCTCTCCGCCAGGGAATTTGATGAACTCGGTGGTCATGTCAATCTTGTTCGCCGGGTCGTGGATCGTCTGTCGGCCGCCGCTGCGCACGTCGTATTCGTCCCAGCCGTAGCCATCGAGCTCGTGTTGTTCACATGTGTGTCGGAAGTCTGCACTGTCAGCAATGGGTTCGGTACAAGCTTGATATTGTAGGCCTACTGTGCTGCACGCTTTGGTAGTCTTCAACGCGCGTCCACATCAGACCGCCCATCAAGCTCTTGGGAATGCGCGGCCGGACGCCAAAGTAGAGGTTGGGGCGGTAGGGTCCCCATAGCAAGCTCGCATTGGTGGCTTTCTCGATTTCGGCGACCTGCGCGCTCACGAGGGGCAATTGGAGGGCGAAAAGGCACGTGAGCCCCTTCCAAAGGGTGCCATGCCGAGATTCGCGCGTCATGGTGTTGAGTGAAGCTGGAGCTGCAGCTGGAGCTTTGCGGGGGATTGGGACACATTTCGCGGAGCATCCGCAACTTCCTCGGGCGTTGATTGGCCGAGGTCGTCCCAAACCCACACCCGCTCAACTCCTGCTCAAACTCAACCACACACGCACAGCGGTAGAGGAAAGAGAAAGAATAGAGTGCGCCTTTGACTCAGACTGCGGTCTGGTTCTAGGTTGGGCTTGGTTGAGGAAAGAGACCTCCTCCACCTCCCCGCCTCCTCCCCTCCGCCTCCCCTCCGCCTCCCCCACCCACCCATCGTCGCCCAAATGTATTCGTCTGCTATCATGAATTAGCAAAATGACACCAACTGTACTATCAGTGCGCATATGAATCTATGTTTCAATGTGTCACCACAATGCGGTAAGAGGCGGACGGAATATTGATATCGTAGTTGTCTCAGTCTATCGAGCTCGAATGCCGCCAAATACCCTGGACTGATGTACCTGTTACTCACAACC